TTCGGACAAAGCGGATCGACTCTAGGACGAGCGTCTCGGGCAATTGGTAAATAAAATCGATATTAATTCTAACATTTACTGCTCATCACTCAACTATCACGTCGTAACTAATACTCTTTAAAGTTTTTGGAGTCAATGTAAAACCGAGGAGTAAAATATTTGCTCTATTGGAGTGAATATTCATTCTAATGGAGTAAATATTTGTTCCGATAAAGTGAATATTTCACTCCATGGTTCTATTTTCACTCCAAAACTTTCGAGAGTAGATAAACTGCATATTTTCGTTGATCATCAATACAATTACACGACGGTTTTCAGATACAAAGGCAACAGAACGCATCTAACAATAAGATTGGGCGAAAGGGATTCAAACGGAGCGGATCGGCTCTAGGACGAGCGTTTTGGTCATTTGGTAAGTAAAATCCATATTAATCCAATCATTTACTGCTCATCGCTCAAGCATCGCGTCGTGAATAACAGATAAACTGCATATTTTGGTTGATCAATACAATTACAGGACGATTCGCGCACGGTTTGCAGGTACAAACGCAACGGAACGCACCTGAGATGGCGAAGGGAATTCGGACAAAGCGGATCGACTCTAGGACGAGCGTCTCGGGCAATTGGTAAATAAAATCGATATTAATTCTACCATTTACTGCTCATCACTCAACTATCGCGTCGTGAATAATACTCTTTAAAGTTTTTGGAGTCAATGTAAAACCGAGGAGTAAAATATTTGCTCTATTGGAGTGAATATTCATTCTAACGGAGTAAATATTTGTTCCGATAAAGTGAATATTTCACTCCATGGTTCTATTTTCACTCCAAAACTTTCGAGAGTAGATAAACTGCATATTTTCGTTGATCATCAATACAATTACACGACGGTTTTCAGATACAAAGGCAACAGAACGCATCTAACAATAAGATTGGGCGAAAGGGATTCAAACGGAGCGGATCGGCTCTAGGACGAGCGTTTTGGTCATTTGGTAAGTAAAATCCATATTAATCCAATCATTTACTGCTCATCGCTCAAGTATCGCGTTGTGAATAACAGATAAACTGCATATTTTGATTGATCAATACAATTACAGGATGATTGGCGCACGGTTTGCAGGTACAAACGCAACGGAACGCACTTGAGATGGCGAAGGGAATTCAGATTAAGCGGATCGATTGTAGGACGAGCTTCTCGGTTCAACTGGTAAGCAAAATCTATATTAATTCTACCATTTACTGCTCATCACTCAATTGTCGCGTCGTGAATAATAGATTCGCCACTCGTGCTTGCATGATATTATGTTAAAGCGCGTATTCCGTGGGGCTCGCGAGGCTGAAGAATCTGTCGACGCGAATAGTCGCAAATCCATCGACGAAGCCGACTATCATATCTTCGAATATCGACAGTATCGCGGATATCAATTTATAATTTCGAGCTGAAATTAATGAAATAACAATAGGAACATAGATTGATCGACGAAAATATGCGGTTTATAAAGTAGTCATATCAAGATATGATAAATATCTAAGCAGAGAATACAATTACACGACGATTCGCGCACAATTCGCAGATACAAACGCAACGGAACGCATCTAAGATGGCGAAGGGGATTTGCACGTCGCGGTCAACTTGACGCTGCACCTGTTGCTCCGGCAACTTCGCGTTTTCCGCATTTCTCGTAATAAATAGTACATGCTTGCCTTTCAACGCAGTTGTTATCTTGCTTTATAACGCGGGATGAATATGCGAGGTACAATTATAAAAAGATAACCGAGATACTTGTAACATTAAAAAAGAGATGTTACGTTACATCGATTTGTCATTTCCACGCGGATGCTTTAAAGCCGAATCTACAATGTCCTCTTTGCGTCCAGAAACATTCTATTTTGTAGCCAATAGATAAGTACGTTAAAAAATTTTCGGCAAGTTGATAAATTGTACATTATACGTTGTACAGTAATGGACAGAATGATTGTTGGGACACTTTTTTTATTGAGTTTAGGAACGTGCGTTCAGACTTACGTTCCAAAATCTTCTCCGAGGAATATCCCAGTCTGCTATTACATTTGTCGTACGACAAAGTTTTTAAACGTCTTGATTGGCTGCTGAATAAAAAATTTCTAAATACTCGAGAATTTTACTATCTTCCAGTCAATCAATACAATTAAAAAGTTTGTCGTACGACAAACGTGATACCAGCCTTACAGAAAAGTTGCAGTCGACTGGCTGGAAGCTGTGCGAATAGCCAATCGACTTGCAATTTTTCTATAAGAATATAATTTTCGCATACCTTTCTTTTTCGACGAATTCAAGAATCGAGCCCCTGCTTGCTCGCTGTGAAGCAAATGTCTTGCGCGATTTATATCGAAACGAGAAGATCCGAATTGTAAATTAACATTTCCCCGTGATTCACTTATCGAACGACGACGATTATCGCTCGAAGAATACTCGAATTCGCATACATCCCGCGACGTGTATCGGTTTATTCACTAATTTGAGGTGTAAGGAACAGAATATTCGGCGTACGTTGATTCCGTGATAAACAATTTGAAAGTACAACCGGCGGTGAGACGGTTTGCCACGGACTTGTTTTTGTCACGCACACAATAGGCCGCGTCGTACGCCGTGTCGCGCGACCACTGGGAGGTCACCGCGCTATCATTCTTGTCCCGGCCATCGAGCGAGCAAGTTGGATGTGCGTGCCGCTCCGTGTATCGAATTATTACTCCTCGAAATAGACGGAAATATGTACAAATAGAATATTACGCGTATCGGAAAGACATCGCGTTCTGCATTAACTATCGGATTCACTAAACGACTTTCGAAATTCACGAGACTCGTCGATGTGTCGAGGCACTGGGGCTTGATTCTCGAACTCATTCGACAGAGATACGTACGCGAAAATTCTATTCTCACAGAAAAGTTGCGTGTCGATTAGCTAAAAGCTACGCGAATAGCCAATCGACTTTTCTGTAAGAGTAGAATTTTCGCATACGTTTCTCCTTCGAATGAATTGAAGAATCGAGCCCCTGGTTGCTCGTTGCGAAGCGAGTGTCTTACGCGATTCATATCGAAACGAGGAGAGGATCCGAATTGTAAATTAACATTTCGCCGTGATTTACTTATCGGACGATGATTATCGCTCGAAGAATGCTTGAACTCTTATACATCCCGCGACGTGTTTCGGTTTATTCACTAATGTGAAAGTAATTTCCTATCGCTTATCGCTTTCAAATACGCGGCAGAGTCGTGAATTAGTTTTATGTTTGATCGCGTTTTCGCGCGCGCGCGCGCGCGCGCGTGTGTGTGTGTGTGTGTGTTTGTGTGTGTGTGAAACGAGGCAACGTGGGAGGAAGACGAGGCCTCAGGGGCCTCGGAGACATCAGGTTCATTGTATCCGTGAGTGTGTTTCTCTTTTAACTTAAGAGCAGTCTCTCTTTCTGCGAATATTACAGTTAAATATAACATTTCATAGATTCATTTTCTTGAAATAAATGGGCTAGACCAAGATATATAAAAAGATAAGATTTCTGGTGAATATTTCTGATGATGTTAAAGTACTAAGATAATAAACTATAAAAGAATGCAACAAAAATGCAATTGACATAAAATATCCATTTCGCAATAATTGTATTCTCTGTTTGTGAAGTAAGTTTCTTCTTAATTATTTTGAACTCCATAACGAAATTACGCTTCCGTTAGGAGTATCTTTTGACTCATTTTAATTAAAGATAAGAGTGCGGTCAATGTGTCGATCGATCACAGCAATCAAACATTTGCAGATGCTACTCATATTTAGTTTGTCTTGATGTAATCAGGAATTTGGCGGAGTGTTTATTTGGCTCTTTGGAAGTTACTGACATAGTGAGTGAAATAACATTTCTTCAAAGAAAATGTTTCGGAACGTAAATCTGGACGTAAATGCGCGTTCCTAAATTTATTGAAAGTGTCGAGACAATTCTGTCTATCACTGTACAATCCCCAGTAAGAAATAATTCGTCGATCGATTTCGAAACGATGTAGAGTCGACATTAATTGATCGTTCCGACATCGTTTCGTCATCGATCGACGAATCATTTCTTACTGGGTCCTACGTTGTCGACGAATTTTGTAAAGCGTTTTGATTTGCTAAAGCCGAATGTTTCTAGACGCAAATAGCACTTGTAGATTAGGCGTAAGAACGAAGGTCTTAGGGCAAAATCGTTTTTATTTTCGTCATTAATTTCGCCAAACTAATCGTCCGAGATAAGCAACCGTGCTCGTTGGGGAAGGCTTGCATTGAGGAAGTACTAAAATTTTAGTTTTCAAACCAGTCCGAAGTTATTCCGCAGCGATTTTTCTACGTAAAAATATTAACGATTACATCGACGATTTAGTAATGGAATTGGCCAGTGCGCGCGTGTGAGTCTCGATGTCGGTGCATATCATGTTTCAAAGCACTTCGCATGTTTTCGCACCTGTTTTTTTAATAACACATCTGTCAAATTACAAACAAAAATATGCGAGGCGTTCTTTTATGTATGGTGCGCGCACGCCCGATTTTCAAAACAGTATAACTTGACGAAAAATTCATGTAGCGACATGCAACAAAAACGGATCTTGCGCGTATCGCGTTTCGCAAATAATCGTATTGAATACATTTCCCTCTTATGAGATAGAAAAATATAAAACGTTGAAATGTGAAACACAACGAATAACTGCTAGAGCATTGAACATTTCACTTCAACAAACATTCAAAAAAATATTAAATATACAAAAGAGGCATCAGTCATATCGCTCTGTGTATAAAAAAGACTGTATATTATTGAAAACATGTTAATAATTAAAGTAAATAACAGTCGACAAAAATAATAAGTAGATTAACCAAAAAGAAAACAGGGTACGTTTTCCCATTCCGTTCTGAATCTCGATATAGATTGTCGTCGCGTTTTTTCACGTTAAATCTGAGATCTGTTTGACGAGCAAAACCTGCCTCGCCCGGCCGAGAAAGTATTTACGTAATTTCAACGATACTCTTTCCGTTATACGCGGCGGTCGGCGGAATGCGCGTGTCCAATGTGTTTACGATGGAATAATATTTGGCCACTTAATTGCCCCCCACCCCCCACCCGCCGATAATTCGACGGCGTTTGACGTTCGGTCGATTAATATTTAGCGAGCATTTTAACGAGAGAGAATTGAATTTCGCATACATAATTAAATTAATAACTCGCGGCCCCGAAGTTTGCCGTCACGCCGCGACGACCGCGCTTGCACATGCCCTCGATGTTACGCGACATCGCGGTCGGTGCCGCGATTTACCTATCGATTGCTCGAAATTATATTTCCCCGCTAGATTTGGTTTCGGCATACGTTTATTTCGCTCGCACGCCGCGTCGCGACGTTTTGTAATGCCGAGATGTTTGCGGGTCCCAGCAGAAACGTGATCGCCGAAATATGTTTATTCGCGGTGGAATACACGTGGATTTATAAACAGCACCCGCAGCACTCTCCACTATTACCGGAAATTAATCCGTTACATTAAAATAATCCGTATTCCGCGTGTTCGCCAAGCGCCGGGCGCGCATTAAAAATATAAATAAATTAATACACGTTCGACATATTACGTTATTATTTAAAATATGAATATATTTGACAATTTAATTTCGTCACGTGCGCGAGGTAAAATCCCTCCTTACCGCCGCCGGCCCGAATTAGAGATTTAATCTAGATATTCTCGAGCATATATAATTACGTTTACGGAAGTATAATTACATTTGTGATAAGCGAAAGATTACATATATGTATTATGCCAGGTTACACACTTAACGGTTAAAAAGCAAATATGTGCATTGGCGGATGGTAGTTAACTGCAGTTGAATCCTGTTTGCAGATGTCGATGTGTGTTCGCCGACAGATAATCCGCTTGTACTCTTCCACTCCTTTTCTTTTTCCTCCCGAGCGACGGAGGCGGAGGCGGAAGTGACGGGGGAACAAGAATCGCGAGATTACTTTCGTTTCTTTTCACGTACCGGTGATTCCGGTAACTCTCGGCTGGTGCGAGGCTCTCCCGCGGAGAGAGAGAGAGAGAAAGAGAGAGAGAGAGGGCGAGGGGGGGGGGACGAGAAAGATAGGCGATAAATACTTTAGAACTCTCGACGCCGACGACGGAACACCGTTCCGGCGCGAATCGGTGGCGCGGGACGTCCTGTGCCTTTCACGTT